CCCCACCACCACACCCACCACCACACCACACCCTCACCACCACACCCACACCACACCACCACACCCCCACCACCACACCACCACACCACCACCCCACCACTCACACCCACACCACCACACCCCCACCACCACACCACACCACACCACCACACACCACCACACCACCACACCCCACCACCACACCACCACACCACCACACCACCACACCACACACCCACCACCTTCACACCATCACACCCACACCACCACACCACCACACCCACCACACCCACCACACCCACACCACCACACCACCACACCACACACCAGCACACCCCCACCGCACCACCACACCCACACCACCACACCACCACACCCACACACCACCACACCCTCACTGCACTACCACACCACACCACCACACCCACACCCACACCACACTACCACACCACCACACCACACCACACCACACACCACCACACCACACACCACACACCACCACCACACCCACACCACCACACCACCACACCACCGCACCACACACCCCCACCACCACACCACCACTCCTCACCACCACACTCCTCACCACCACACTCCTCACCACCACACCACCACACTCCTCACCACCAAACTACCACACTCACTCACTACCACACTCCTCTCTACCACACTACCACACTCCACACTACACACTACCACACTCCACACTACCACACCCTCACACCCTATCAACCCTCCTCACCAAAGAAAGTAAAATATAATCCCATTATTAAAATATTATCTCAGAGTAAATACAAACCAAATAAAATTCAAATATAAAATAAAATACCATAAAATATAACTTGAGTCGTGTGTTACTGAGGGGCAACTTGGCTGAGCGTCTTGTGGGCGGTGAAGGAGGAAGCCCTGGGTGGTGGTGCGCCTGGCTGACGGAGTGTCATCAAGGGCCGTCTTCCCCACGGCTTCCACACCTGCGGCAGGGCGGAGTGACCCGTCAGCTGTGAGGGTTTGGAAAAACATCTTGCCTTACGAGACCCGAGAGACCTAGGATCTGCCAATATCTGGGAGGTATGGCCTGGCCACACCTCTCGGCTATACAATATGTTTATGGTAATAATAACGACGCGTTTACTATAATTTACTAATATTTATAGAAATATTCTTCTTTACCTAAATTAACACCATGTAGATGTTTTTTAGATAATCGTTTTTAAGTTATGTATAAATCCCATTGTTTACAGCAAAATTGTGAGCTGCATGTAAACTTAAAGTTGTTTACGTATTTAATACCAATACTGTTGTCTCATATAAACTGAATAGACTGGCCACTTGCTGACGTCACACCCAGTGGTTGAATAAGTTGTTAGACAGTTATTCTACAAACGATTTTTACGATAAAATCACGTTTTTTTCCTTCCGTTTTAGTGGAAGTATCAGCAATAGAACTGAGGGAAATGCGGTTGGAGCGTATTGGAAAGACATTTTGATTTTCGGTTAGCAATTTTTTTTTATCTTCAAGGTTCCTGGATAGTGGCCTCACCTTCCCGTGTCTCATGAGCCAGTTGTTAGAAAATACAGTAATATTATACTCGTTATATATGGCTGTCTGCACTGTTCGTCTTTAAGCGTTAAAAGTTGCACGAGCGACCTGAGTAGGCTAAGGTTAGTTCAAGTTAGGTTAGGTTAGGCTTGGTTTGATCAGGCTTAAGTAATCGTAAGGGCTGACTTGGGAGGTTTAAGTCATCGTATAGGGCTGACTTGAGAGGCTTAAGTCATCGTATAGGGCTGACTTGGAAGGCTTAAGTCATCGTATAGGGCTGACTTGGGAGGCTTAAGTCACCGTATAGGGCTGACTTGGGAGGCTTAAGTCACCGTATAGGGCTGACTTGGGAGGCTTAAGTCATCGTATAGGGCTGACTTGGGAGGCTTAGGTCACCTTGACTCACCCAAGAACACAACTCACTCGAAGTTATCTTCCCAGAATTGGTATTCCTGAGGGAGTAAACTGAGGAGGGGAAGGGAGCTTGGGGAGAGAAGGCATTGTGGCTGGGTAGAGAAGGCCCCTTGTTTGGGGAGAGGAGGTATACTGGGTGGGGAGAGGAGGTCTAGTGGGGGGGGGAGAGAGGCTCCATTGTGAGAGATAGCTATACTGGGTGGGATACACACACATACATATAGGTTGCTTGTATATCTGCATACATAGACTGCATGTATACCGTTTATGTATAGACACACACACACACACACACACACACACACATAATTTGGTGTTGTGGGTTATCGAACTCACATTTCTTACAAGACTTACGCTGGGCAAAACACGACTCGAATTAGCATACGTGTAATTCTAACCTGTCCATAAAGCTCAACCTAACGTAACCTAACCTGACCTAACCCAACCTAACCTAACCTAACCTAACCCAACCTAACCTAACCTAAACTAATAAAATGTCATATGTGATAGTAATTTTTTCTTTCGGTCTTAGGTTAATATCGCTACTATGTGTAATTATTATGATAATCTCTTCTAATTACTCTACCTATCACTGCTACAAGTAATTATCTTCCCTTGTAGTCGACATATAATTGCTTGGAGTAATTACTGTTTACCCTCTGTTTACTCTGGTTATTAAGGGGAGTAAATTTTTATGTATTTTTTAACTTGGATGCAAGACCCAAGGAAGGACTTTGTTTATCTCAGCGTCATTGTTTGCGTCATTGTTGTCGTCAGGATCTGCGTCATTGTCGTCTGCGTCATCGTTATTATCTTCGTTATCTTCGTCATCATCGTCGTTATCTTCGTCATCGTCTTTTGCGTCATCGTCTTTTGCGTCATCGTCTTTTGCGTTACCCAGTTGCTTGTGTTACCCAAGTATTGATTCTCGGCTTTTCCTCCTGCAATCCTTCTTCATCTTCCTTTCTATCCTTCTCGGACTTACTCCTCATCCTCCTTCCCCTCCTTAATCCCTCCCCATCCCCTTCCTCCATCCTCCTTCCCCATCCTCGTCCCTCCACCCTCCTTCCTTCCCTCTTAATCCTTCCTCGTCATTCCATCCTCTTTCCTTAATCCTTCCCCATCCTTTTCCCTCCTTCCTCAATCATTCTCCATCCTCCTTCCTTCTCCCTTAATCCCTCCCCATTCCTCCATCCTCCTTCCTTAATCCTTCCCCATCCACGTCCATCCATCCTCCTTCCTCCTCTCTCTCTCTCAAAGGCTCTGGTGACCTCCTTCGGCAGCCCAGTGTGGTGACACTCAGTGCCATCAGCCACAGACACACTTCTGCCTGGCCACTGCTTCTGCCTCCTGAGCCAACCTTTCATCAGTTAGGGGGGCGGGGCCTCTGTTAGGGCGAGAGTCACGAGAGAGAGAGAGAGAGAGAGAGAGAGAGAGAGAGAGAGAGAGAGAGAGAGAGAGAGACCGTTTGTAAATCAATTTCTTAATCCAGCACAATTAACACAACCCGTACAACAGATATTATGGTTGTGAGGAATATTTCCGTGTGATGTATCGTGTAGTGATGTATCGTGTGGTGATGTATCGTGTGGTGATGTATCGTGTGGTGATGTATCGTGTGGTGATGTATCGTGTGGTGATGTATCGTGTGGTGATGTATCAGTAGCACTAACACACATGAGCACTAATATGAGTAGCACTAACATGAGGAGGTAGCACTACTATGAGTAGCAGCACTAATATGTAGCACTAATATGAGGAGTAGCACTAACATGAGCAGTAGCACTAACATGAGCAGTAGCACTAACATGAGCAGTAGCAATAACATGAGCAGTAGCACTAACATGAGCAGTAGCACTAACATGAGCAGTAGCACTAACATGAGCAGTAGCAGTAACATGAGCAGTAGCACTAACATGAGCAGTAGCAGTAACATGAGCAGTAGCACTAACATGAGCAGTAGCACTAACATGAGCAGTAGCACTAACATGAGCAGTAGCACTAACATGAGCAGTAGCACTAACATGAGCAGTAGCACTAACATGAGCAGTAGCAGTAACATGAGCAGTAGCACTAACATGAGCAGTAGCACTAACATGAGCAGTAGCACTAACATGAGCAGTAGCACTAACATGAGCAGTACCAATATTCTTGACAACAACATGAACGTCTCATAGCGGTGTGGCGGGGGTGAGTGTGGTGGTGGTGGTGGTAAATCGAATTTTTAACTGGCTAGACTGAATCCGCTTAGGTATTGCCCTGGCCTCCTGTATCTTTCTCACTGAAGCTTAGAGGTATCAAAAACTCGGCTAGGAGGATTGACCTGTATTGTTCCCACTGTTCTCATGCCTGTCATATAGATATATACCTTATATACTTATATACTTTGTAAAGAAGAGAGCGGGATAAATAATGCGTGGGGGGGGTATTACCTGTTACTGAGTAATACTCCGTTACTAAGGGGGGTATTAATACTCCGTTACTTGGGGGGGGGGGGTTCCCTAGCATATATTACACTTCCATTAATGCAAAATTGTAATGTCTGGTGTACTGACGTAAATTTCTTTGGACTCTCTGTGATAAAAATTACAAAATTCAACATAATATATGTAGTCCCCTTCACAAGTAGGTTTACAGGGGCTCATCAGATGTTGTGCAGTGTGGCAGCGCTGTCTTTGTTTACATTCGACAGAAGGAAACTCGCTATAGTAAACATATTATAGAATCAAATTAAAACATTAAAACAAATATCTCAAAGATAATGATTTGTGGAATATATATATGACGAGCCCCTGTAAACGCACTAGTGAAGGGGACTGTACGTGTGTGCGCGCGTGACCTGTGATAATGGTCAGCTCACTTGCCTGGCATATAACTAGGATAAGGTTCTTTACACCATTTGCCTCTGTCTACCCAACAGTATAGTAATTGGAAACTTAGACGTTCTTGGATTTGCAGATCGTGTTCCGGGGTTATGGTTAGCCAGTGCAGTTGGCGAGTTGTCCGGTCTTCTTGACACAGGGTCATACAGCTCGTTAACGTAAGGTGCGTCCACGCCAACTAAACGATGTCGGTAACAATTGTTGGCAACCGTGTTGGTAACAAAGTTGTTAACTTGTATACACAATTTTTGGCAACAGTAATAATATGTTTCCTGTATTTGCTGGTATCACCGATAGGCGATATGTTGGTAGTAATGCTGTGGACTACACGTGTTAGGTGTGATATCAGCTCGCGCACAAACACACACACATATACACACATTGTGGAAGGTTGTGCAGTTCTCAGCACATTGTTAGCTGTCAACTCACCTGCTTGGTATGGACTGTGTTTATTTCACCAGTTTCCAACATTGTTGGTTTCTTTTACCCAAACTGTTTCCGACTTTATTACCAAAAATGTTGCATCCTTGTGACCAACTTTGATGCCATCATTGTTGACAGTTGGTGTCCAAGATGTTAGCAATAATGTTCCCAACAGCATTGCGTTGGTGTGGACACTTCAAGGGTGTGGTGGTTGTGTTGGCTACAGTTTCTATAACTTAAACTAATTCACGCTTAGAGGGCCCTACGAGGGCCAACCATTATATATATATATATATATATATATATATATATATATATATATATATATATATATATATATATATATATATATATATATATATATATATATATATATATATATATATATATATATATATTATAATTATTATTTAGGAGGTGAGGTATTTTCCAGTGCATATTTCTTTTAGAGGCACGACATTCTGGGGAGACCTTCCTGAGATTGTTTTACGGCTGGGGACAACACTTCCAGGAAAATCTTCTCGTTCCTGGAAACGAATAATTCCATTGTGTGAAATACGTGGAGGTGAGATCAAACATCCTGTCAGCTCACCAACACCTGGCTGCCGGTGATAACTTAGGGCGTCTTTATATACCTTTCTATTATAGTAACTACATTTGCATGAGACTTTTTATTTTTTATGAACACTTTTCTTTATCCCTCGGCCAACACAGCTAGAGGGTAATTGTTATGACCCATAGCATCTGTTAGTCCGACTACCCGTCCACAGCCTGTCTGTCTCTCAGTGTTTTTGTCTGCTTTATTCTTTGCAGTTGGAATTAATTGATCCAAGATATCACGTAATTTCTGAATTGTATAAGATGCCAAGATTTGCTTTCCTGAGGTCAATTCAATTAGAAGTCATAACGTGTACTAAGTTTGTGAATTCTAGTGCGTGTTATGTTTTATCGAAACAGTGTGTAGTGAACAAGAACCTCGTGTGTTGTGTTTAAACACTGTGTAGTGAACAAGAACCTCATGTGTTGTGTTTAAACAGTATATAGTGAACAAGAACCTCATGTGTTGTGTTGCAACAGTGTGTAGTGAACAAGAACCTCATGTGTTGTGTTTAAACAGTGTGTAGTGAACAAGAACCTCATGTGTTGTGTTTAAACAGTATATAGTGAACAAGAACCTCATGTGTTGTGTTGCAACAGTGTGTAGTGAACAAGAACCTCATGTGTTGTGTTTAAACAGTGTGTAGTGAACAAGAACCTCATGTGTTGTGTTTAAACAGTATATAGTGAACAAGAACCTCATGTGTTGTGTTGCAACAGTGTGTAGTGAACAAGAACCTCATGTGTTGTGTTTAAACAGTGTGTAGTGAATAAGACCTTATGTGTTGTGTTTAAACAGTGTATAGTGAACAAGAACTCATGTAAGTTAAAGTTTAAACAGTATATAGTGAACAACAACCATGTGTTGTAAGTTTAAACAGTATAGTGAACAAATGAAGAACTCCTACAAAGTTGTGTTTAAACAGTGTATAGTAAATCAAGAACCTCATGTGTTGTGTTGCAACAGTGTGTAGTGAACAAGAACCTCATGTGTTGTGTTTAAACAGTGTGTAGTGAACAAGAACCTCATGTGTTGTGTTGCAACAGTGTGTAGTGAACAAGAACCTCATGTGTTGTGTTTAAACAGTGTATAGTGAAAACGAACCTCATGTGTTGTGTTGCAACAGTGTGTAGTGAACAATAACCTCATGTGTTGTGTTTAAACAGTGTATAGTGAACAAGAACCTCATGTGTTGTGTTTAAACAGTGTATAGTGAACAAGAACCTCATGTGTTGTGTTTAAACAGTGTGTAGTGAACAAGAACCTCATGTGTTGTGTTTAAACAGTATATAGTGAACAAGAACCTCATGTGTTGTGTTTAAACAGTGTGTAGTGAACAAGAACCTCATGTGTTGTGTTTAAACAGTGTATAGTGAACAAGAACCTCATGTGTTGTGTTTAAACAGTGTGTAGTGAACAAGAACCTCATGTGTTGTGTTGCAACAGTGTGTAGTGAACAATAACCTCATGTGTTGTGTTTAAACAGTGTATAGTGAACAAGAACTCTATGTGTTGAAAGGAAACAGTGAACAAGAACCCTATGTGTTGTGGGCTTAAACAGTGTAGTGAACAAGAATCCCCTACAAAGCTAAGCAAACAGTGTGTAGTGGAACAACAACTTAACATGTGTTGTTTAAAACAGTGTATAGTAAACAAGAACCTCATGTGTTGTGTTTAAAACAGTGTGTAGTAAACAAGAACCCTCATGTGTTGTGTTTAAACAGTGTATAGTGAACAAGGAACTCTGCGTGTTGTGTTTAAAACAGTGTATAGTAAACAAGAAATCCCCATGTGTTGTTGCAACAGTGTGTAGTAGAACAATAACCCTGCGTTAAGCCAAACAGTGTATAGTGAACAAGAACCTCATGTGTTGTAAGCCAAACAGTGAGTAGAACAGAACTGGCAAGTAAGTTTAAACAGTGTAGTGAACAAGAACCTCACGTGTTGTGTTTAAACAGTGTATGTGAACAAGAACCTCATGTTGTAAGTTGCAAACAGTGTGTAGTGAACAATAACCCCATGTGTTGTGTTTAAACAGTGTATAGGTGAACAAGAACTCATGTGTTGCAAGGTTGCCAGTGAGTAGTGAATAAGAACCTCATGTGTTGTAAGCAAACAGTGTGTAGTGAAGAATCCCTCATGTGTTAAGCCAAAGAAGAGAGAACAAGAACCTGGCAAGTTGTGTTTTAAACAGTGCAGAATGTCTCATGTGTTGTGTTTTAAACAGTATATAGTGAACAAGAACTCATGTGTTGTGTTTAAACAGTGTATAGTGTGAATAAGAAACTCATGTGTTGTGTTGCAACAGTGTGTAGTGAACACAACCTCAAGTTGTAAGCTTAAACAGTGTATAGTGAACAAGAACTCCTGCAAAAGGTTGAACAGTGGCAGAACAAGAATTCCTCATGTAACAGAAGCTTAAACAGTATAGTGAACAAGAACTCCTCATAAAAGAAGGTTTAAACAGTGTGTAGCAAATGTTGAACCTCATGTGTTGTAAGGTTAAACAGGAGTAGAACAAGAACTGACATGTGTTGTGGTTTTAAACAGTGTGTAGTGAGCAAGAACCCTCATGTGTTGTGTTTAAACAGTGTATAGTGAACAAGAACCCATGTTGTGTTTTTGGAGCAGTGTGTAGTGAATGTTGAAACCTCATGTAAAGGAAGCTTAAACAGAGTGTAAAAGAACAAGAACCTCATGTCTATAACAGTGTAGGGGAAATCAAGCAACCTCTATGTAAATGTGTTTAAACAGTAGTGTATAGTGAACAAGAACCTCATGTGTTGTGTTTGAACAGTGTATATAGTGAACAAGAACCTCATGTAAGTTGTAAGCTTATACAGAGGTAGGTGAACAAAAACCCTTATGTGTTAGGAAGCGAAACAGTGTAGAAAGAATAAGAACTCATGTGTTAAGCTTAAACAGAGGTAGTGAATAAGAACTCCTGCTAGGTTAGGTTTAAACAGAGTGTGTGAATCAAGAACTCATGCGTGTTGTGTTTAAACAGTGAGCAGAACAAGAACTCTGTAAAGGTGTTTAAATGAGGTAGTGAACAAGAACTCTATGTCTTAGAGTGTTTAAAACAGATGTAGTGAATGAAGAACTCAAGTGTTGTGCTTAAACAGTGTGTAGTGAACAAGAACCCTGGCAAAGTTGTAAGCCAAATGGATGAAAGAAATAAACCCTCATGCTAGGTTGAACAGTGTGTAGTGAACAAGAACCTCATGTCTTATGTTTAAACAGAGTGTAGTGGAATAAGAACTCAAGCAAAGTGCTTAAACAGTGTGTGGTGAACAAGAACTCCTTGGCAAAGTTGTGTTTAAACAGTGTAAGTATCAAGAAACCTCATGTGTTGTGTTTAAACAGTGTAGTGAACAAGAACCTCGTGTGTTGTAAGCTTAAACAGTGTGTAGTGAATAAGAACTGCGTCTTATGTTTAAACAGAGTGTAGTGAACAAGAACCTCAAGGTGTTGTGTTTAAACAGTGTGGTAGTGAATAAGAACTCCCATGTGTTGTGTTTAAACAGTGTGTAGTGACACAAGAACCCATGTCTTATGTTTAAACAGTGAGTAGTGAATGAACTGTGTGTTGTGTTTAAACAGTGTGTAGTGAACAAGAACCTCATGTGTTAGGGCTAAACAGTGTGTAGTGAACAAGAACCTCATGTAAGTTGTGTTTAAACAGTGTGTAGTGAAATAAGAACTCTGAAGTGTCTTATGTTTTTAAACAGAGTGGCAACAAGAACTCATGTGTTGTGTTTAAACAGTGTGCACCAAGAAACTTACAAAGTTGTAAGTTATAGCTATGTAGTGAACAAGAAACTATGTGTTGTGGGGTTTAAACAGTGTGTAGAATAAGAAACTGTGTCATGTTTAAACAGAGTGTGAACAAGAACTTGGCAAAAGTTGTAAGCTTAAACAGAGGTAGTGAACAAGAACTCATGTGTTGTGGGCGTTTAAACAGTGTAGCAACAACAAGAACCTCATGTCTTAGATAAGGTTTAAACAGAGGTAGAATAAGAACCTCATGTGTTGGTGTTTAAACAGTGTGTAGAACAAGAACCCCTGGCAAGTTGTGTTTAAACAGTGTGTAGTGAACAAGAACCCCATGTGTGTTGGGGAGCGAAACAGAGTGTAGTAACAAGAACCCCTATGTCTTATGTTTAAACAGAGTGTAGGAACAAGAACCTCATGTTGTGTTTAAACAGAGGTAGTGAAGAACTCATGTGTTGTGTTGCAAACAGTGTAGTGAACAAGAACTCTCAAGGTTCTTATGTTTAAACAGAGTGTAGTGAACAAGAACCTCATGTAAGCGTAAGCTTAAACAGTGTGTGAAAAAAAGAACAAGAAACTCCCCATGTTCTATGTTTAAACAGTGTGTAGAACAAGAACCCTATGTGTTGTGTTTAAACAGTGTAGTGAACAAGAAACCTCTATGTCTTTTATGTTACCAGAGTGTAGCAACAATAAACTCTGCGTGTTAAAGCTAAACAGTAGTCAAGAACCTCTATGTGTTGTGTTTAAACAGTGTAAGAAAAAGAACAAGAACCTCTGGCAAAGGTAAGCCAACAGGGTGAACAAGAACTCTCATGTTCATAAGTTTAAATATAAACAAGAACTCATGTGTTGTGTTTAAACAGTGTGTGAAAAGAACACACAACCCACAATAACAGTGTGTAGTAGTCAAGAAACTCCCCATGTAAGCTTAAACAGTGTGTAGAACAAGAACTCTTGAGTGTCTTTATAAGTTTAAACAGAGTGTAGTGAACAAATCATGTGTTGTAAGCTAAACAGTGTGTAGTGAACAAGAACTGTGTGTTGTGGGGTTTAAACAGTGTGTAGTAAACAAAGAACTCAAAGGTAAGTTTAAACAGTGTGTGTGTAGAACAAGAACTGTGTGTTGTAAGTTAACAGTGCAGAACAAGAAACTCATGTCTTATGTTTAAACAGTGAAAGAATAAGAATCTCATGTCTTATGTTTAACAGTGTGTAAAAAGAATACAAGAACTCATGCCTTATGTTTAAACAGAGGTAGTGAACAAGAACTCCTCATGTGTTGTGTTTAAACAGTGTGTAGTGAACAAGGAACCAAGGTGTTTAAACATGCAGAATAAGAACCCGTCTTATAAGTTTAAATGATATACCAAGAACCAAAAGTTGTGGGTTTAAACAGTGTGTAGTGAACAAGAAACCCCATGTGTTGTGTTTAAACAGTGTGTGTGGAAGTAATAAGAACCTCACAAACAGAGTGTAGTGAACAAGAACTCATGTGTTGTGTTTTGAAAACAGTGTGTAGTGAACAAGAACCTCACAAAGGAAGCCAGTGTGTAGAACAAGAACCTAAGTGTCTTATAAGCTTAAACAGAGGTAGTGAACAGAACCTCATGTGTTGTAAGCGAAACAGTGTAGTGAACAAGAACTCCTCATGTCTATAAGCTTAAACAGAGTGTAGCAACAAGAACCTCATGTGTTGGTGTTTAAACAGTGTAGTGAACAAGAACTCTCATGTGGGTTGTGTTTAAACAGGTGTGTAGTGAACAAGAACCTCATGTTGTGTTTAAACAGGTAAGAACAAGAACCCTCACAAGCGAACAGGTGCAGAACAAGAACTCATGTGTTGTGTTTAAACAGTGTGTAGAACAAGAACTCATGTACAAGCTTAAACATGTGTAGTGAACAAGAATCCTGGTGTGTTGTGTTTAAACAGTGCGGGAAAGAACAAGAAACCCTAAGTGTCTGCAGTGGTTAAACAGAGTGTAGTGGAACAAGAAACTCTCATGTAAGCAAGCTTAAACAGTGTGTAGTGAACAAGAACTCTCATGTAAGTTGTAAGCTTAAACAGAGTGTGAAAATGGAATCATGTGTTGTAAGCAACAGTGGGGAGAATAAGAAACTTGCAAGTGGAGCCAACAGTGTGTAAAGAGTAAGAAATTCTGCGTTACAAGGAAATGAAAAGAGTAGTGAACAACTTGGTAAGGTAAGCGAAACAGTGTGTAGTGAAGCCAAGAACTTTGGTAAGAAGTTTAAATAGTGTATAGTGAATAAGAATTTTATGTTTTATGTTGGAACAGAGTGCAGTGAACAAGAACTCTACAAGGTGTTTAAACAGAGTGTAAGGAATAAGAACTCATGTGTTGTGTTTAAACAGTGTGTGTAGTGAACAAAACCTCATGTGTTGTGTTTAAACAGTGTGTAGTAAGCAAGAACCTCATGTAAGTTGTGTTTAAACAAGAGTAGAACAAACCATGTAAGCGTAAGCTTAAACAGTGTGTAGTGAACAAGAATCCCTGTGTGTTGTGCTTAAACAGTGTGTAGCAACAAGAACCTCATGTCTTATGTTAAACAGAGTGTAGTGAACAAGAACCCTCATGTGTTGTGTTTAACATGCAGTGCACCCAAAACCCCATGTGTTGTGTTTAAACAGAGTGTAGTGAATAAGAAATCATGTGTTGTGTTTAAACAGTGTGTAGTGAACAAGAACTCTTATGTGTCAAGCCAAAATAGAGTAGTGAATAAGAACCTCTATGTCTTGTGCTTAAACAGAGGTAGTGAACAAGAACCTCATGTGTTGTGTTTTAAACAGAGGTAGTGAACAAGAACCTCATGTCTATATGTTTAAAATGAGAGCGAAAAGAACAAGAACTCATGTGTTGTGTTTAAACAGTGTGCAGAACAGAACCTCATGTCTTATGTTTAAAACAGAGGTAGTGAACAAGAACCTCATGTGTTGTGTTTAAACAGTGTGTAAAGTATCAAGAACCCTGGCAAGCAAGTTTAAACAGAGAAAAGAACAACCTCATGTGTTGTGGCTAAACAGTGAGTAGTGAACAAGAACCTCATGTGTTGTGTTTAAACAGTGAGGTGAACAAGAACCTCATGCTGTAAGCTTTTAAACATGTGTAGGTGAACAAGAACTCTAAGTAAAAGAAACAAAACAGTGAGTAGTGAACAAGAACTCATGTGTTAAAGCGAAACAGTGTGTAAAGAATAAGAAACCCTGGTGTGTTGTAAGCTTTAAACAGTGTGTAGTGAACAAGAACTCTGTGTGTTGTGTTTAAACAGTGTGTAGTGAACAAGAACCCATGTCTTATGTGTTTAAACAGAGTGTAGTGAAATAAGAACCCTAAAGAAGGAACAGAGGTAACAAGAACCTCACAAGTTAGGTTTAAACAGTGCAGTGAACAAGAACTCCCCATGTGTTGTGTTTAAAACAGAAAGGAAAAGAACAAGAACTTGCCAAGTCTTTATAAGCTTAAAACAGAGGTAGTGAACAAGAACCCTGCAAGTTGTGTTTAAACAGTGTGTGTAGTGAACAAGAAACTCATGTGTTGTGTTTAAACAGAGTGTAGTGAACAAGAACTCATGTCTTATGTTTAAACAGAGTGTAGTGAACAAGAAACTCTATGTGTTGTGTTTAAACAGTGTGTAGTGAATAAGAAATCTCATGTGTTGTGTTTAAACA